TGCAACGTCGCTATGGGCGATTTTTAATATGAACGAGGGTAGGAGGCAAGCGGGATGCCGCCAGGCAGACGGATGTCGCTAGGTAGGCAGATGCTCTCACTGAAACCTACCCTCCAAAACCCTAACTGTGACACACGCGGTCATATTAAAGCAGACCATCGGCCATTTTAAATAGTTATTCTTTAATACGGCATATTCCAAAAAATGTGATGAACATGCGAGTAAGCGTAAACCTGTTACCTGTGAAAGGACACGATGCACATAGCATTGCAAATGTCGCTGAAACGGCGCAATGCAAAAACGCGACGAGAGCTTCGCCATGTATCCGCAAAAATGAGCCCCAGAGCGCTCATCTGCACGACTTTCATCTTCATCCCCCCTCATACGCAGCTAACACACATCCGTCCACGCGCACGCCCCATCACCACCGCCGGCTAGCCGAAGGAGGAGGGGCAATAGGTCGCGGTGGCGCCATCGGAGCGTCAGCCGGTGTGGCCGGTGGCGCCACCTCGCGCGCGGGGTGGTGGCGCTCACAGTACGCGCGCAGCGTCTCCAGCGTTCGGTGACGGGCATGCGCGGCGTTTCGCAGCATGTACAGCTCGTTTCCGTAGGCCGAGTAACTGGCGCTCGCCGGGTCACCAAGCAGCCGGCGCAGCGCACGGTTACGCTCCAGCATCTGGCGCGGCGGGGGGAGGCGTCCGAGCCCGTCAGAACGGAGCGCCGCGGGACGACCCAGTGTCGCGCCGATTGGATGATGCAGACTACAGACGCCACACGCGCCTCCTCAGCGGCAGGCCACACGATAACGCGCACTGCTCAAGATCACACTGGAAGAGCCCACATACAGGCAAAATCGCACCAGACCGATATTGCATTATCAGCACAGGACCCGTCAGCCCTGGCAAGAGGCGCGCATCAGCGCTGCAAGACTGGCTGAGTTTCCTTCACACACCACACACCACTGCGCGCCGCAGTGGCCGAAGCGAACGCCACAAGAGTGTGAGTTCCGACGGACGGGCCCCGCCGCCTCCTCCAGCACCTTCTAACTCACCTTCTCATAGAACTCGACACCGCCCCAGGCGTAGGTGGCCCCGAGCTGGGCAGCAGCCTGGTCAGCCTGGCTGTCTCGGTAGTGCTGCACCAGGTCCGTCACCGTCGTCCACAGCGCTATGCCGAACAGCGACACCAACGTGTACAGCATAAAGCCGCAGCACCTGGAAGTCACAGGGGTCAGCCGCCAGGGTCAGAGGGTCAAGAAGAGGGGCAGGCCCGCCGGAGAGGTCGCGTGAGGGGCGGATCAGGGCAGGAGGTCCAGGCGCGGCGCCACACCATGCACACGCGCAGCCTGGCGCTGGTGGCATGCTAAGCCAGACACTGACAATGCGACGCCATTTCTGAATGCCAAGGAAACACGCCCCATCGGCACAGCGCCTCCTCGCTGGTGCGCACCCATACCCGCGACTCTCGACCCGCACACCGCTCACCGTCCCCACAGACATTGACGCAATCCGTGCGATGGTTGCGACCGCTGAAAGACGGCCGGGAAAACACAAGGCTCATAGCTGCATTCTGAACGCCAAAACCTTCCTCCTCTTCCCAAGCTTGTCTCTGTCCCTGTCCGTCTCGTCTCTGTCCCTGCTCCCGTCTCTACCTACGTTCCTCTGTCTGTCTCTGTCCCACCCCATCTCTGTCTCTGTCCCTGTCCCTGTCTCTGTCCCTGCTCCCGTCTCTATCTACGTTCCTGGTCTGTGTCTGTCTCGTCTCTGTCCTGTCCCTGTCCTGTCTCTGCCTCTGCCTCCTTGCCCGTCTCATCTACGTCCTGTGCCGTCTCTGTCCCTGTCTTCTCTGCTCCTGCTCCGTCTGTCTACGTTCCTGTGCTCCGTCTATGTCCTTGCCTCTGTCTGCTCCGTCTCTATCTACGTTCCTCTGTGTCTCTGTCCCACCCCCATCTCTGTCTCTGTCTTCTGTCCCTGTCTCTGTCCCTGTCTCTGTCCCTGCTCCGTCTCTATCTACGTCCTGTGTCTGTCTCTGTCTCTGTCCCTGTCCTGTCTCTGCCTCTGACCCTGCTCCCGTCTCTATCTACGTTCCTGTGTCTGTCTCTGTCCCTGTCCCTGCTCCGTCTCTATCTACGTTCTGTGTCTGTCTCTGTCCCTGCCCCATGTCTGTCTCGTCGGTCTCGGTCTCGGTCTCGGTCTCGGTCGGTCTCGGTCTGTCTCTGTCCCTGCTCACCACTCTATCTACGTGCCTGTCTCTGTCTCCGTCCCCGCCCTGTCTCTGTCTCCCTCGGTGCCGGCCCTCACCGCCCCAGCTCACCAGAGGGCGCTGTGCGAAGCCCATGCGCCGGTTGGTGGCACACGTCCCAGCGAATACGTGACGAAGAAGGCGCCAGTGCCGATGGCGCCGTCGGCGTACACGTGTGAGGCGCGGGCCAGACTCAGCTCGCGGGCGATGGCGAACCCTGTCCGGCCGGCGACAGGCAGCAGGCCGTGACTGAGCATGGCGCCCTCGCGTGATGCAGGCCAACTTCTGGCCACCCACCTGGCCGAAAAGACGGCGGTCAGGGCCGGTGTGAGGCTCACCACACATGGCGGGCAGCGCACTGGGGGAGAGCCACCATATGGTGCAGACAGGTCTGAACCATATGTGCACAGAATCTGCACTGCAGTTTTACAGCCACAAAGTCGACAAGCAAAAACGCGGCCGCGTGATGTAGCCAGTCATGGCAATTGGTCAGGAACTGTACGACTGCCCAGGCCCCACAATTCAAGGCGGCAAGGTGTCGATAAAGACCAAACATGACTTCATCCGATGACACAATACAATTTGCTGGCTGGCTGGCAGCAGTGATGATTCTGAAGTCGCAACTGATTAGGCGGTCTCTCGGAGTTCGAAGCGGCCAGCCTCCCCACCCCTGACGACCAGACTCCCCGTCCATAACAGACAGATTCCCGCCCCTGACGACCAGACTCCCCGTCCATAACAGACAGACTCCCGCCCCTGACGGGCAACTCCCGCCCCTGACGACCAGACTCCCCGTCCATAACAGACAGACTTCCCGCCCCTGACGACCAGACTCCCCGTCCATAACAGACAGACTCCCGCCCCTGACGACCAGACTCCCCGTCCATAACAGACAGACTCCCGCCCCTCGGGCGACTCCCCGTCCATAACAGACAGATTCCCCGCCCCTGACGACCAGACTCCCCGTCCATAACAGACAGACTCCCGCCCCTGACGGGCAGACTCCCCGTCCATAACCGACAGACCCCGCCCCTGACGGGCAGACTCCCGCCCCTGACGACCAGACTCCCCGTCCATAACAGCAGACTTCCCGCCCCTGACGACCAGACTCCCCGTCCATAACAGACAGATCCCCCGCCCCTGAACGACCAGACTCCCCGTCCATAACAGACAGACTCCCGCCCCTGACGACCAGACTCCCCGCCTAACAGACAGACTCCCGCCCCTGACGGGCAGACTCCCGTCCATAACAGACAGACTCCCGCCCCTGACGGGCAGACTCCCCGTCCATAACAGACAGATACTCCGCCCCTGACGGGCAGACTCCCGCCCTGACGACCAGACTCCCCGTCCAATAACAGACAGACTTCCCGCCCCTGACGACCAGACTCCCCGTCCATACAGACCGACTCCCGCCCCTGACGGGCAGACTCCCCGTCCATAACAGACAGACTCCCGCCCCTGACGGGCAACTCCGCCCCTGACGACCAGACTCCCCGTCCATAACAGACAGACTTCCCGCCCCTGACGACCAGACTCCCGTCCATAACAGATAGACTCCCCCCCTGACGACCAGACTCCCCGTCCATAACAGACAGATTCCCGCCCCTGACGACCAGACTCCCCGTCCATAAAGACAGACTCCCGCCCCTGACGGGCAGACTCCCCGTCCATAACAGACGACTCCCGCCCCTGACGGGCAGACTCCCCGTCCATAACAGACAGACTTCCCGCCCCTGACGGGCAACTCCCCGCCCCCTGACGGCCAGTCTCCCAGCGTGATCCACCCGCCGGTGGGATCAGCCTCCCAGCGTCACCCACCCCGCCGGCGGCGTCAGCCTTCCAGCGTCACCCAACCCCGCGGGCTGGGTCAGCGTTCCAGCGTCACCCACCCCCGCTGGCGGGGTCAGCCTCCCAGCGTCACCCACCCCCGCGGGCTGGGTCAGCCTCCCAGCGTCACCCAACCCCGCTGGCGGGGTCAGCCTCCCAGCGTCACCCACCCCCGCGGGCCGGGTCAGCCTCCCAGCGTCACCCAACCCCGCGGGTCAGGTCAGCCTCCCAGCGTCACCCACCCCCGCGGGTCAGGTCAGCCTCCCAGCGTCACCCAACCCCGCGGGTCAGGTCAGCCTCCCAGCGTCACCCACCCCGCTGGCGGGGTCAGCCTCCCCCGTCACCCACCCCCGCGGGTCAGGTCAGCCTCCCAGCGTCACCCACCCCGCTGGCGGGGTCAGCCTCCAGCGTCAACCCACCCCCGCGGGTCAGGTCAGCCTCCCAGCGTCACCACACCCCCCGCTGGCGGGGTCAGCCCCCAGCGTCACCCACCCGCGGCGGGTCAGCCTCCCAGCGTCACCCACCCCCCGCGCGCTGGTCAGCCTCCCAGCGTCACCCACCCCCGCGCGCGGGTCCGCCTCCAGCGTACCCCACCCCCGCGGCTGGGTCAGCCTCCCAGCGTCACCCACCCCCGCGGCTGGGTCAGCTTTCCAGCGTCACCCACCCCTGGCTGGGTCAGCCTCCAGCGTCACCCACCCCCGCGCGCTGGGTCAGCTTTCCAGCGTCACCCACCCACGCTGGCGGGGTCAGCCTCCCAGCGTCACCCACCCCCGCGGGCTGGGTCAGCGTTCCAGCGTCACCCACCCTCGCGGGTCAGTCAGCCTCCCAGCGTCACCCACTGACCACAAATCCGCTGGCAGCCACGTCCTCGGCGTTGGCGAAGGCGAAACGTCTGCGGCAGGCCGACGACGGCGCCCCAGCGCAGGCCCGTCTCGCCGGCGTGCGCCGGGTCGGCACCGAACGCCGTGAAGAAGCGCAGCTGCTGCCGCTCCTCGGCATCGACGGCCGCGTCGTCCAGCACGGCGTCCACGTGGCGTCGCAGCTGCGGGCTCAGCGGCACGGGCAGGCCGTCCCTTGCGGAGGTCAGCCGCAGGTCAGCCGGCGCCCAGGGGTCACGGGTCAGGGTCACGGGTCAGGGGCGCATAAGAGTACGGCCAGATGGACAGGGTTGACCGAGATCAGGTGGATGCTGCCGCGAAGAACGATACAGACCATGGACGGGTGATGACAATGACGAAAATAATGGCGACGTCCGCGATGATAAGGTAGCCCGAAACTTGCAAATGTTACATAATCTATGATCCAACATTTCGCAAGACCAATGTCTAGGATCAAGGAGGCTGACATGGCGCGAAATAGCATCACTTGACGCATAACCTGCGAGTTGGGCGATAACGGTGTGGACAGTGGATGAACTAAATATCCACGGCCGATCCAAAACCAATGATACTAAACAGCATGAATTCACTGCGAGGTGGCGGCCAAGGAATCATGCTTTTTAGTTCCAGTTGCCTTAGAAATTTGTAAAGATAGCCTAATCACGTTCTGCATTTTGGAGCGCACTAACAGACTATGACTCACGACCGAGGGTCAGCTGGAGCTGCATCGTGTCCCTGCGACACGCCTTCGCAAAACTGAAGTAAAACACGACAAAACATGGACAAACGACGGGCCACGACATGTCGCTATGTCGGGAGCTGCGAGAGAGTGCGGAGCAGCAAGAAATGGGAGATTACCGCAAGCACTCCTTTTAAAAGCAATCAGGACCACCAGCAAATCGTTTTTGGTTAATATGCCCAGATTCGTTTGGAATCATCCCAGTTCACAAGTTTTCTTTTCGATGCCAGTAATGATTATGCGTTGTTGTAGGTTCGTGCAGGCCACATTTGAAGCAAGCAGAAAGTGGGTGGTACTTTCATGATTGCAATATTTCAGTCCATAAGATAAGGCTGGAGAGGAAGTGCCATTGAAGTTTTTTGGTTGAAATGCTTGTCAGATCACAACTTTTTGTTTGTTTTAGATAATGTGGTGACAAAAAATATGTGTGACGAGGAGAATCAATTCAATCATGCACCAGTTTACACCACATGGAGTCCAGGCAGGCGGGTATGTGCGGGAGCTGGGGCGGGGCCGAGAGCCGGGGACTCCCATAGGGAGCCTAGACCGGCATGGATGTGCGGGAGCTGGGGCGGGACCGAGAGCCGGGGAACCCACAGAGAGCCCAGGCAGGGTGGGGATGTGAGGGAGCTGGGGCGGGACCGAGAGCCGGGGAACCCACAGAGAGCCCAGGCGGGTGGGGATGTGAGGGAGCTGGGGCGGGACTGAAAGCCAGGGAACCCACAGAGAGCCCAGGCAGGTGGGGATGTGAGGGAGCTGGGGTGGGGCCAAGAGCCGGGGACTCCCATAGGGAGACTAGACAGGCAGGGATGTGCGGGAGCTGGGGCGGGACCGAGAGCCGGGGACCCCACAGAGAGCCCAGGCAGGTGGGGATGTGAGGGAGCTGGGGCGGGGCCAAGAGCCGGGGACTCCCATAGGGAGACTGGACAGGCAGGGATGTGCGGGAGCTGGGGTGGGACCGGGAGCCAGGGACCCCACAGGGAGCCTAGAGGCCTCTGCCTGTCTGGGCGGGATCGGGGCAGCCACCACGCCGATTCTCCCAGTAGATGGCAGCGGCACAACACGAGCCATGGCAGACCTGCATGGAGGCAGTATTTAAAAACACCTTGTGCACAACACATACAGATGAGTGATAAACCATCTAAGGTGACCTACCATGACCTTCCATTGCCATGGTAAGTCACCTTAACTTCCCTTTCACTCATCCCTTTAGCTTGGTGGTTGCTCACTTGTATGCCTGAAGAAATCTCTTGTATTTTTCAATGAAGAATCCATGTGGAAGCAGGTATCCACCAAAAATGCAGCCACCAGCAACACCCACAGCATACTGAATGGCCCGCTCACTGATGTGAACACCCCGCAAGAAGTGAGCTGCCATTTAGCACCAAAACCCTGAAATTGAGGCTGGTTTTAAATGAACACAACATGACATAAACAGGAAAATAATCAAGAGATTCCAGCCAACCCCAATCATGACATCTACCCTGCCCCAGCCTGGGGCAAAGTGCAGAATATCCCATCATGTTCTCTGCTCTGCCCTTTCTCAACCCCACCCTGTTCTCCCTTGTTCTGTATCCAGTCCTCTGCTCTGTCCTCTGTGTAGTCCTTTGGCCTGTCCTTGTTGATCATGTTTTCTACCACATTTTCTCCGCTGTTCTCTGTCATTATTTGGTTCTGTCCTTTCCCCATGTGGACATTACAGCATGGTCCCATTCATTGCGACCTGCACCTGGTCATCCTGCATGTCTAATTGACCTTTACCATTTTGCCATCCTGTTACATATAATCCCCGAAAAATATTGGCTGGGATGAAAATCATCACTTAATGTCGGTATCAACTGCAGTTATCTACTCTGTTAAACCTGAAAACATAATACTGCAGAAATCAAAACCTGGCAGACCCATGGTGGTCTTAGGAAACATAGCAAAACTGTGGCTCCTTACACTTACCTACCCAAAAATATATAGGCTGGCAAATCACCATCCAAACATTTAGCCATATACAAGATGGTACATAATTACAATGTACATATACAACCCTGTGGCCCACAAGTACTTAATGGCTCTCTCATCCATGGTTGCATCCTTGTAAAATAATTTTGGGGCTGAGTTGGCAAAAAAAGGCTAACTATGTGTTCAAGACACAAGAAACATGTTCACCCCAGAATTTGGTTCACATCCCCATCAAAGTTAGATGGCATGAGTCCCCCAATGAAAGGACACTGCGTCATGCTCCTATAAGACATGTAGCATAAAGTAACTTGCTCAACATGCGTAAATGCATTCAGGAACAGTGTTACGATCGCAGCAGCATATCTAAAAGAATGTTAATTCTACTTAAAATACACACGTGCATCCCCTGATATATAAGCAGTCGGTGCACCTACTATGAACCCTAGATTATAAACTATAAGGGATACACATGTGCGCCCTACTTCGCGCACCATCCACACCCGGCGCCCTTTCCCTAACGCCTCCGCTGACGCCTTCCCACCACGCTCAGAATATAGAGGACAAAACGGAAGGTACATCAGTTTTGGCCTCGCTCGCGTATTTATTGTATCCTGCGCCCTTCGAAGTCTGTGCAGCTAAATGCACCTCTCACCCTCACAACTCGAACTGCATGGGTGGAGTTCAGTAAAGGTTTTTGAAAGGTGATGAGGGCACATGGGGTTAGATCCGATGTTTTTTCTTAAAAGGAAATTTTTGTTTTCAAAACCATCAAAATGCACGCAAACAGCGGCGGCACCGGGAGTTGCGAGTTAAGGCGAGGTAACTTTCCATAACTGCTATCGCTGGATTACGATCGACACACACACGCGATTTCGGATGTCAAATGTTCGACTAGGCTATATAGGAGCAGCCATGTGCCTCCTGCAGCGGCGAAGGCGGGGGGGGGGGGACGCACAGAAGGCACGTGTCTCCCCTCCTTCCACCTTTAGGCTCCGAAGGGTCTCCCGGGACACACAATTGAAGGCCCGATCTGAGTGACCGAAGGGTCCGAGAGGCCGACTGGAAGCGGTATTCGGAGGCCCCGGCCCTGCGCGCTGGATATCCCAATGCCAGCCAGAGGGCGCTGCGCACTGATCCAAACCCCCCTGAGCCGATAAGGACCTATACGCCAGTCAGACACCGCCAGCAACGATCAGCAGGCTCGTGTCGGCGTGGGGCCGTATATCCATTTCTTAAGCAGGGGCAAAGCCGAGGACAAGCTGTTCTGAAGAGTAGAGGTTGTCGACCATGACGTATCGATTGGCGAATGTTTTGTGCCGACCAGCCGCATAACCTCGCAGCATGAGTGGCGCGGAGCCGCCTACAGGTTGTACCGGCCGCTTAACTATTCCCGCTTAACGCGCCGCCCACGCGACAACCAAGCTCAAAGGCACCAACCATAGTTTTGTTATATTATGAATCGTGTGCTAATTCAATATTGCAGTCAGCTGGTGATACGGAATAACACACCAATTTTTCTTTTTGCGTCGTAAAACTGAAATAGATTTAAACGCAGTGAATAATTATTTATTTATATATCAAAATATGGTAACTATTTTGGGGTGGAGGACACACATATTATGCTAAATTATCGTAATTAATGCGTAGATGGCATTCCTCGATGAGAACATGGCACAGTCAGCTGTTACAATACCTGCCGTGTATGAATATGTTACGCCACACGAACGTATGGGCTGAAAAGGTGGGCGAATTGCCAGTCATCTCCCGGTGCATTTGTTTCGTTGTGTATTCGTGTTTTTCGCGATATCGGTGTCGGGACTCTAGGGCTTTGTGTCGGGTGCCTAGGTGCTCGGCGGAGAGCTGGAGAGGACAATCAGCGCCACTTGTGGAGGTAAACAATGTGCATATATAGAGAACTCGTTAAGTGTATTTAATCCGTCCAATGTTGTTGGCAGCTCCTGACATTTGATTTATTCAACTTTCCAAAGCGGTTATCTCCACACGCTTGTAAAACGGAGGGAAATTTTATTTAATGGGCAGAAGTTTTGAATTGTACCAATGAAGGATCAATAGCAGCAATTATATCACTTTTGCACATCTTTTGTGCCACACAACTAATGGTTTGGCAGAAATTACTGCTGTGGGTATTTACCTTATGCTGAATATTGTTTTCATTGTGTGCATCAAAATGTTGCTCAGAGTGACAAAGGTGTGCTACTTAAAATATGTCAAATGTAGGGACAACAATGAAGCTGTGTGTGTACAACTGATATTGATACGCATTTACAATGTGCATGCACCTGATGTGAAATCTTGTTTGGTGCACAGTTGCTGCCAATTTTAGTGAATGGGTAGTGGATGTTTCAGAGAATTATGATGTTGTAAAGAAAACATTGTACTTAGTATTCTTGAGTGAAATATGCCATCACTATTTTTCAAACAAGCTTTATTAAAAACTGAGTAATTTGTCCTGGCTTGTGTTCAACATATGCAAATGCTGGGCTCAGTACACAGATGTTGCATAGGTATCAATGGCAGCCTATCAGGAAAACATTGTTTATGACATGCAAGCATTATCACTTCCATTAAACATCCACCTTGTCTCCTGGTTTTGTTTAACAGAGGCACTTTTCAGATACCACCGACTGTTCAAGAGAACTGAAAGGGCTTACCACAGATATTCACATTTGAAGCATGCCTAGCTTTACAGGTAAGTAAGGCCACTGCCAGCTACCATTCTGTGTTTTGTGACATCATTGAGATACCCCCATATTTAGCATGAGGTGCATTAGGTGTAGGCACACATTGGTACCTAATGTTAGAAAAAATAATTGTACATCATTTGTCATGTTTAAGGTGGAACATATCATAAATAATCGTAAAACAGGTAGATTCATGCTCCTACTTTCAAATTTTAATAACTACGATAGCAGGCTCCCAAGCGATGCACGCACCCCACCGCCATTTCTGTGTTACCATTGCATAATTACAATATTCTTGCTTATCAAGAACTATAGCAAATGTATGGGGCCAAGGTTGCAATCACAATGCTATGAAAAACGTTTCTTGTCGCGTCTAGGTACATTTATGAAATGGACAGGCCAGAATAGTCCAGAACATAGCCTAAACTGGCCTGACCTAACCTAACCTAACCTAGCCTTACCTAGCCAAACCTTATCTAGTCTAGCCTAACCTAACCTAACAATCTAGCCTAACCTGACTGACCTGACCTGACCTGACCTGACCTGACCTGACCTGACCTGACCTGACCTGACCTGACCTGACCTGACCTGACCTGACCTGACCTAGCCTAGCCTAGCCTAGCCTAGCCTAGCCTAGCCTAGCCTAGCCTAGCCTAGCCTAGCCTAGCCTAGCCTAGCCTAGCCTAGGCCTAGCCTAGCCTAGCCTAGCCTAGCCTAGCCTAACCTAACCTAACCTAACCTAACCTAACCTAACCCCCAATGCAGTGTCCCATTGGCATCCATGTTCCATGCTATATGATGTGTGCTGTATTGGGAAGTTTTGTTTAGCCCCCATATTCTCATTTTGCTTTTCATTCCCGCCCAAAATGTCATATTTCCACACCATGTTGACCAATCTACAAGCAATATGGAGGACTGCTTTGATATGCAAGAAACAGGTTTCATTGGATTCTTGTTACCTTGGGCCTTGTACATTTTTATGGTTCTTGATGCACAGTAATGTTTGTGAGCATGCATTTATGTTGTAATCAACGCGTAGCAATGGTGCCGGGGTCCGCGGTTGCTGCGTGTTTGCGGCGGTCGGGTGTTCGCTGTCGTAGTTATTTAAGTTCCAAGGTAAGAGTTTAGATGACCTGTTGTACGATTAATTACGATATGTTCTGCCTTAAAAACGACAATTGATGTGCAAAGCTCCTTTTTAACGTGAGTTAGCAATGTAATACCCTGACCTTAAAGTCAGTCAGTAGATGACAGTGAAAAATGTGCATGCATCTAAAGGATGTTGTAATTCAGCTGTCCCTCTTTGTTTGCAGTGAAAGTGAAATGGGGCAAGAACTGTTCAAGGATGTGGAGCTGAACACAGATGAAGAGCCAATGCTGTTCCGTGCACAGCTGTTTGCACTGACTGGGGTACAGCCTGATCGGCAGAAGATCATGCTGAAGGGCATGACACTGAAAACAGAGTCCTGGGACAATGTCAAACTGAAAGATGTGAGGTTCTCTGCTTTGAATTGTGATGCATGACCATTATCCATGTCCAGGGAAAAAGTTAGATTATGGCTGCCAGTTATCCAACTTAAAGGAAGTGTTGCACATTTATTTGGGGTTTTAAACTGAAAGAGCCATCTTGATTGTCATTCAGTGCAGTTCACAGCCGTGGCCTGTTTAAAACCAAAACCTGTCTAGTTCCTGAGCTGCACTCCCATGAAGATTGGGGGACTATTTCAGGGAAACTACTTCAAAACCACCCAGCATCCATGATGTTAAAATAATGTCATTTGAATCTTGCCATTCCATAAGTTTTGTGGCAGTTAACACTAAAAATTGAAGTTCTCAGGCTGCTCATATCAGATGCTAATGAGCACCATTTTCGGATATAACAGCCATGAATTGGTTTTCAATCAAAGTTGTGTGAGGTGAGATGATGTAACCAAACATTGATGTATTTATGAACATATTTGCTGCAGGGAAATGTTTCACAGTCGAATACATTGAAACAAACATCAAATATGGTGTAACAAGCTCACTGATAACTATTGGTATACTTTTCAAATGGAAAAGACTGCTTTAGACAGCACAACTATCTGTCAAGTAATACACTGATGTGTCATGGCTCATTACATCATCGTACCCTGCACAACACCAATTGAGGGCCAATGGACAGCCATTATATCTGGAAATGGTGCTCATGAGTGTCATATATGAAAGCCTTGATGTCACTTTTTTGACATGGTCATCACATGGCCTATGAAATGACAGAATTTGAATGGCATTGCAATGTTATGAATGCCCATGTGATTTGAAATGTTCTCCCCAATAAACCTTTCCCCATTTTCGCGGGCATGTAGCTCGGAAAGTAGAGGTGCGTAGGTCTTAAAAATGATGGCATTGTGAAAAGTGAGCTTATTTCATCACATCTGGTGCTTGTTTTGATATGTTCAAATGTGGAACATTCTCTTGAAAGCCTGTGTTCTGGGTCCATATGGCACCAGTGGTGGCCCCAGGCCTGGCTGATGCCAGCTATGTGACATGACCATGGGCAGTGGGCGGCGTCGGCAGGCAGTGTGGCCCGCTGACCTGACCTCTTGCCCTGCGCAGGGCACCACGCTGCTGATGATGGGCAGCAAGGAGGAGGACATTGCCCAGGTGCCGGCAGAGCGCACCAAGTTCGTGGAGGACATGACGGAGAGTGAGCTGGCCACGGCGCTCGAGATGCCGGCCGGCCTCACCAACCTCGGCAACACCTGCTACATGAACGCCACCGTCCAGTGCCTGAAGACCGTGCCCGAGCTGACCGACGGGCTGCGCCAGTTCAAGAGCGGATACGGTGAGCGGCTTGCTCGGAGCGCCGCCGGCAGATGAAGCCGGCCGATACAGAGATAGGGTCGCCTACTGCAGCGCTGTCCGCCTGTGTACTTGGCGCACTGGCTTGCGTCGTTATTGGTGTGCGGACTGGCAGGGGAGGGACCAGCGCACGACCGGACTGTAGGGATAGCGCTGGAGTGACTTCGGCAGTGTTTGGCGCAAAAGCAGAGTTGTTGGGAGCTGATTCGTCCATTTGCTGTTGCTTCAACTGTACAACGACAGGGCCTGCAGGCGGCGAAACAGGTCTGACATTTCCACGTGATTTGTAAAAACCGTTGGTCCAGCGGTGCAGCGGCAGTCCAAAACATGCTAAGGAACTAAACTGTTCACACACACCCGTCCAGCGCCCCACCGTGGCTACGCCAAGCGGCGTTGGTGCGTCACGCCCGTTCTGACTAACTTGTTGGCAGGCACGGAGGGCGGGTACGGCCAGGCGGTGACGGCTGCGCTCCGCGACCTCTACGCCAGCATGGAGAACGTGGCTTCGGTGCCGCCCATCATCATGCTGAACGTGCTGCACACGGCGTTCCCACGCTTCGCCGAGCGGGGCGAGCAAGGCGGCTTCGTGCAACAGGTGGGCGTCGCGGACGGGGATGGGGCTCCGCCGGCGCTGGAAGGCGGACTGATGAGGACGGACCGCTGGCGGTGGGAGAGGATGGGGCTCCGCCGGCGCTGGGGGGCGGACTGATGAGGACGGACCGCTGGCGGTGGGAGGGATGGGGCTCCGCCGGCGCTGGGGGGCGGCTGATGAGGACGGACCGCTGGCGGTGGAGGGGACAGACCGCTGGTGGGGGCAGAGGGCGGACGACTGGCGGTGACGGGGGACAGACCGCCGGCGGTGGGAGGGGACAGACCGCTGGTGGGGCAGAGGGCGGACGACTGGCGGTGACGGGGACAGACCGCCGGCGGTGGGAGGGGACAGACCGCTGGTGGGGGCAGAGGGCGGACGACTGGCGGTGACGGGGGACAGACCGCCGGCGGGTGAGGGGACAGACCGCTGGTGGGGGCAGAGGGCGGACGACTGGCGGTGGACGGGGGACAGACCGCCGGCGGTGGGAGGGGACAGACCGCTGGTGGGGGCAGAGGGCGGACGACTGGCGGTGACGGGGGACAGACCGCCGGCGGTGGCAGCGGACGAACGTCCAGCTCTGGCCCGCCTTATGATCCTGAAAGCCGTGTTGTGAAGTTTGCGACGTGTGTGGTAGATATATGAATAGTTCGAAACAAAACGCGGCTTTAGTGGCGATGACGTAACCTAAATTGACAAAATGTGCGCTGTGTTTGTGAACAAGTTACGAGGCCTGGTAGCGTACAAACGGTCCGAGTCCCAAGCGGCATGGCAGGCATCACATTAAGTGGGGCAGTTTGAGCAACATGGTAATCTGATTCGTTTGAGAAGAAGTACTGCTATGGTGCCCTTGTACCAAAGAAGAAACAGGTTCAGCCCCACGGTCTCCGTCATGACTCTTCATATTTGTTTGTATTCCAGGACGCCAACGAGTGCTGGACGCAGCTGTTGATTATGCTCCAGCAAAGTTGGCTGCCAAGCAGGAAGACGGCCGACGGTCAGGTGGTAGCCTCCAAGTGAGTGTCTCCGGAGGCGGCCGCCGGTCAGGTAGTGGCCTCCATGTGAGTGTCTCCGCAGGCGGGCGACGGTCAGGGTGTAGCCTCCAGTGAGTGTCTCCGGAGGCGGCCGCCGGTCAGGTAGTGGCCTCCAAGTGAGTGTCTCCGCAGGCGGCCGACGGTCAGGTGGTAGCCTCCATGTGAGTGTCTCCGGAGGCGGCCGGTCAGGTAGTGGCCTCCGTAAGTGTCTCCGGAGCGGCCGACGGTCAGGTAGTGGCCTCCAAGTGAGTGTCTCCGGAGGCGGCCGACGGTCAGGTAGTGGCCTCCAAGTTGTCTCCGGAGGGGCCGACGGTCAGGTAGTGGCCTCCAAGTAAGTGTCTCCGGAGGCGGCCGCCGGTCAGGTAGTGGCCTCCAAGTAGTGTCTCCGGAGGCGGCCGACGGTCAGGTAGTGGCCTCCAAGTAAGTGTCTCCGGAGGCGGCCGACGGTCAGGTAGTGGCCTCCAAGTGAGTGTCTCCGGACGGCCGCGGTCAGGTAGTGGCCTCCAAGTAAGTGTCTCCGGAGGCGGCCGACGGTCAGGTAGTGGCCTCCAAGTAAGTGTCTCCGGAGGCGGCCGACGGTCAGGTAGTGGCCTCCAAGTAAGTGTCTCCGGAGGCGGCCGACGGTCAGGTGGTGGCCTCCAAGTAAGTGTCTCCGGAGGCGGCCGACGGTCAGGTGTGGCCTCCAAGTAAGTGTCTCCGGAGGCGGCCGACGGTCAGGTAGTGGCCTCCAAGTAGTGTCTCCGGAGGCGGCCGACGGTCAGGTAGTGGCCTCCAAGTGAGTGTCTCCGGAGGCGGCCGACGGTCAGGTGGTGGCCTCCAAGTAAGTGTCTCCGGAGGCGGCCGACGGTCAGGTGGTGGCCTCCAAGTGAGTGTCTCCGGAGGCGGCCGACGGTCAGGTGGCGGCCTCCATGTGAGTGTCTCCGGAGGCGGCCGACGGTCAGGTGGTAGCCTCCAAGTAAGTGTCTCCGCAGGCGGCCGACGGTCAGGTGGTAGCCTCCAAGTAAGTGTCTCCGCAGGCGGCCGACGGTCAGGTGGTAGCCTCCAAGTGAGTGTCTCCGGAGGCGGCCGACGGTCAGGTGGCTGCCTCCATGTGAGTGTCTCTGGAGGCGGCCGACGGTCAGGTGGTAGCCTCCAAGTAAGTGTCTCCGCAGGTGGCCGACGGTCAGGTGGTAGCCTCCAAGTAAGTGTCTCCGGAGGCGGCCGACGGTCAGGTGGTAGCCTCCAAGTAAGTGTCTCCGGAGGCGGCCGACGGTCAGGTGGTGGCCTCCAAGTGAGTGTCTCCGGAGGCGGCCGCGGTCAGGGTGGCCTCCAAGTGAGTGTCTCCGGAGGCGGCCGACGGTCATGGTGGCCTCCATGTGTCTCCGGAGGCGGCGCCGACGGTCAGGTGTGGCCTCCAAGTAGTGTCTCCGGAGGCGGCCGCCGGTCAGGTAGTGGCCTCCAAGTAGGTGTCTCCGGAGGCGGCCGCCGGTCAGGTAGTGGCCTCCAAGTAAGTGTCTCCGGAGGCGGCCGACGGTCAGGTAGTGGCCTCCATGTGAGTGTCTCCGGAGGCGGCCGACGGTCAGGTAGTGGCCTCCAAGTTAAGTGTCTCCGGAGGCGGCCGCCGTCAGGTAGTGGCCTCCAAGTAGGTGTCTCCGGAGGCGGCGGCCCGCCGGTCAGGTGGTGGCCTCCAAGTAAGTGTCTCCGGAGGCGGCCGCCGGTCAGGTAGTGGCCTCCATGTGAGTGTCTCCGCAGGCGGCCGGTGGCGTTCCCACCGAGACCGTCAGCGGCGTCAGTAGCGGGTCTCAGCACGCGGACTGGTGTTCAGTGTCCTCACTAGAGGACGCCAGAGCTTTGCCATCCGCCAACCCCGCCAACTTCTGGCCCGCAACGACCCGCGCGGCTTTGCCCGAGTTGTGGGGGAGACTTGGCGGGCTCTGGGTCCAAAATTTTACCGTGAAAATTATACCTTGTTTTGTATTGAAGTTTTAAGATCATCCAAAAATCTCAATGTACGGATGAGCATGAAACAATCATGTAAAAAACATGTTGTTTAGCAGGAGCCCTGGTGGCAGAAAGCCCATTGCGCACGTGGTGCCTGTTGACCAGATTGCACAAATTGAACTACTGCAAAAATATCACACTCAAAAATCCTGAATAGCAATACAAATTTTCAAAAATTGGCCTGGATTCATAAAGAAGTTAACTGGGTCATTTATATAAACACAGCAGCACACGGCGCTTGGGTGATATTGAGGGTGACGTGCACTCAAACCTTCTTAATCTCAACTCAAACCATACTTCATAGTCAAGATCAATGATCAATTAAATTACAAGGAAATGATGTGCATTTTATTGCTGCAGCCTCATTCACTAGTCAATAACAGCCTACAGTCACTGGTGGATCAGATGTGAAAGCTGTCGATATAGAAAGAGGGCTTGATGTCAACATAGAGTTTGTCCGTGTAGGTCTGAAGAACATGGAACCTACGACCAGGATGCCGCTGGCTCATGAGTGGTTTCACCCTTATTACTTATCACAGCAGATACCATATAAGAGCCCGCATTTTGTTTTAAATGCGGGCTTTGACGGTGCAGTGGTCGCGCCGCATCCGAGCGGTGTTTGTCCCCATGTACAGTGTAATGAACTGAGGATACTTCCCATGACTTGAAATCACCATGAACTATGGGCTGAAATTTTGGTAGGAAGATGCATCCCTAGTCCACACTAGCGAGGGATTAGGAGAGGGGAATGAGGTTCGTGTTGGCACTGGGCGAAGCCAGGAGCTGTGCCAGTCGCATGTAACTAAGTGGTGTACCTGTGTGTGTTTCACTTTAGAGGTACACCTCTGGCACTACAGTTTGCTCCCGAAGGGATAGCGAATACATGCAACTATGTAACCATTTATGATTTAACACGCTGAATGGAGGTTTTTTCTCAACAACAAACAACATCGGAACAACAACAAAAAGCATAAGCGTTTTGGGCGGTGTTGGGTGTCGTTTGACCGAGGGGGCGTGAGGATGGGCCGGCCCGGCTGATGGGGTGCACCCTCCCCCGTCAGGTACACCTCACTCATCGACCAGTACTTTGTGGGCGAGTTCAGCTCGGAGCTGAAGTGTGTCGAGTCGGAGGACGAGCCGCTCACGACGTCCACTGAGACGTTCCTCCAGCTCAGCTGCTTCATCTCGCAGGACGTCAAGTATCTGCATACGGGCCTCAAGCTGGTGAGACTGCGCGCCGCCGCCGCCGCCGCCTCGCTCGCGGCGGCCGCCGGCGTGGCCCGCGCGGTGTTTGGTGTTGTAGTTTACAGATGGGACGCCGCCCTGCGCCAGGAGCGCGAGCTGGTCGCGCGTATGGGCAGACTATGTCCAGCACCTGCTCGTAGGAGGAGCACGCGTAAGCTACTGTCACGTGCTGGGCTTCCCGATCAAATATATTGTGTTGGCTTGAGTGAGCTTCGATGCCTCTTTGATGCTTGTTATCTGTTGGAATGGTGGCAACTGGAATTCGGGGCGATGATAGATTTGACGATCAATAGATTGAATAGATTTTGACGTAATAGATTTGGCGGTTGAAAGCGATGTTCGCTTTTACCACAAAGACTCCAACAAACGTTGCTGTCTTGCGACGTCTCTTCATGATCGTTTCGGCAAGTCCGGTCAGGGTATCACTGATCGGATCAATTTGCAATGTTGAAAGAAGTACGAGTCAGATTCGTCCCCCCTCCCATATGTCAAGAGTTTGATGTCATCTTTCCACAATGTGATCAGGTGATTGATGTAATTCCACATCGGTTTCGTCCCCTCCCCCTTCCCAGTATGCCCAGGGTCAGATGTCAGCCCAACAGCGTCTCAGGTTTGCATGCCATGACATTCCCCAGTATTCCCGGGGCTCAAAGCCACCTTTGCACGGCGTGATCGGGTTTGCACGCCCCGACATTGGCTATACCGCCGGCGAGCGAGCGGCGCTGTCGACACCACTGACAGGTCTGGCCGGGGGGGGGGGGGGGGGGCTGACACTGGCGCTCCCGCCCCACAGTACGGGGGTGGAGCATTCACCATCCTACAGTACGCGGGTGGAACAGTCACCGTCTCACAGTGCACGGGTGGAGCAGTCACCGTCTCACAGTGCGCGGGTGGAACATTCACCATCCCACAGTACGCGTGTGGAACAGTCACCGTCCTACAGTACGCGGGTGGGAACAGTTCACCGTCCCTACAGTCGCGGAGTGAACAGTCACCGTCCCACAGAGTGTGAACAGTACCGTCCTACAGTGCGCGGGGGAACAGTTACTGTCCTACAGTGCGCGGATGGAACAGTCACTGTCCCACAGTGACGACGTGTGGAACAGTCACCGTCGTACAGTGCGTGTGTGGAACATTTCGTCTCACAAAGCGCAGGTGGAACTCACCACCCCACAAACGCGGGTGGAACAGTCATCGTCCCACGGTAACCGGGAAACAGTCCACCGTCCCCAAAGTACGGCGGGTGGGGCAGTCACCGTCCCAAAGTACGCGGGGTGGAGCAGTCACCGTCCCAAAGTACGCGGGTGGAGCAGTCACCGTCCCAAAGTACGCGGGTGGAGCAGTCACCGTCCCACGGTAACCGGGAAACAGACACCGCCTCACAGTACGCGGATGGAACAGCTGGAGACTTTTCCGGTGATATATCCAGAACATCTCACCGGATCCTGAGGTTTCGGCGAGTTCATTTTGAGGCCTACTGTAGTAATGAACAGGCTACGACTTCGTATCATGTTCTGTTGCCGATGTCGGACCTTGTTTTTAAGGGTCTGCAGGGCGACGAGGAGGAAAGAGTGTCATTCCCCGACGCGTGCTTGGTACCGTTTGCACGTGATCGTTTTGTCTAGTGGCTCTGACGGCGTGGTACTGTGCCTTCGTCACTGATGATTCCGTCCCGTGGTCCAGTTGATTAGAGCGTCCGGCCTCCGTTTCACGCGCTCGTGGCGGGGTGGGTTCAGATTGCCTTAGACGCCATTAATCGCCCTGACTGCCGACTGGAATGACCTGTGGCTAGAAGTGGCGGCCACGCTAAAGTTCAGATGACGTTGGAAGGGGGGCGGGGGCGGACATATCCGTCCATCACAGAACGTTAAGTCCACCTTGAGATTATCTAAATGTGCTTTGGACGTATCCCTTCTTTGCCGTTTTTGAACTGCATTTTCCGTTAAGTGCACATCAGCGTGGCACTGGGTACACAAAATGACGTAAGAACACAAGGTATCGCCCCGTTTAGCTGTGCCGTTGCTTTCCTGACGGTTTTGAGTTTGGCGTGGCCCCGGTTGGGGTGGACCGGTAAGGACGGCGGCGACTGCTGCTGCCTTGGCGTCTGCGGTCAGACAGTCACGGCGGGCTGGCACGACGCCAAGGGACTGCAGGCGACACCGCTCGAGCGCTGGTGTCCAGGACGTAACGCTCCAGGGTTAGACTTGCCCCTGACTCCGGGCTGGTTCCTCGGCGTCGTGCTGTGGTGTCACTGACCCGACCCTGTGCGGCCCCCTCCCCTCCCCTACAGCGGTGTGCCAACTGTCCCTCGGTGTCGTGCTAGGGTGTCACTGACCCGGCCCTGTGCCATCCCCCTGCAGCGGTTACAGGAGCAGCTGACCAAGCGGTCAGCCACGCTGGACCGCGACGCTGCGTACACCAAGACGAACCGCATCAGCCGGCTGCCGGCCTATCTCGCCGTCCAGCTCGTCCGCTTCTTCTACAAGGTGGGCCGGTGCGCGCCGCGCTGGTCCGGCTGACGGTGGCAGGGCGGGCAGCCAGCCGGGGCCGGGGCGCCGTCTGGCTCCGCCGCCGGCCGGCCGTGTCGCCGGTCTGACCGAGCGGTTAGATCGGGCGGGCCGTGGACCGGCGTCCTGTGCGCCTCAGACGGCGCTGCGGAAGGCAGGAGGGACTGGTGGGCCCGCTAACAAGCGGTCACTGAGATCCGAGGCTCGAAGCGGCATCAGGCATGCCTTGCCGCTGTACGGCACACATGCTGCCGCGCGTTACAGTGACCCCATGTATATCTGAACACTTCAGAGCAGCTTGGAGCGGGTGAGCGGGCGGCTTTCGGTCGCTCAGCTCTGGCGCACCTCGTTTGCCATCCGTGTGTACGTCGTCGGAGTGAGTTGTGTCTTACGTACCAGGGTACTTCCACAGCGCATTATATCTCTTGAAGTAACTGGCGGTGGCCCTAACGGTACTGTGGCCGGAACTGCAGACAATTATGCTGTTTCGTCGAACGCATGTGTGCCTTTTGTCCCTGAATTGGATTCACCATCGATTTTATGTGCCTTGCAGGAGAAGGAAGGCGTCAATGCCAAGGTTCTGAAGGACGTCAAGTTCCCAATGATGCTGGACACGTACGACCTGTGCTCTGAGGATCTGCAGAAGAGGCTGGTGCCCATGCGGACCAAGTTCAAGGCGTGGGAGGACGTCAAGGCTGAGACGGCCAGAGCGCCGACGAAGGGTGGCCAGGTCCAGCCCACCAAGGAGGACGTCAGCTACCTGCCCTTCAGCTTCGAGGATGGTGAGGCGGCCCCGCTCAGCAGGCAGGCGCTGTGCCCGCTCAACAGGCGGGCGCTGTGCCCGCTCAGCAGGCGGGCGCCGTGCCCGCTCAGCAGGCAGGCGCTGTGCCCGCTCAGCAGGCGGGCGCCGTGCCCGCTCAACAGGCAGGCGCTGTGCCGCTCAGCAGGCAGGCGCCGGCTCTGTATGGTGCATTGTAGGTAGGAATGCAGTTATTGACGCATCCCTGAGTCGGTGCGTTGTGTGATATATTCTTATGAGTGTACCATAAAGAGCAGGGAAGTGATAGTGAGATGTACACAAAGCATCTCGGTGTGGGGCGGTATACGGTCATAGCTATTGTACAGTTCAGTGGCCATCAGGGAACGGTTGCGCTAGTCCATTGATTAACAGACACCTAGGTAGGCTACGCTTTGAAATATGTGTCGTGATCGGCGCTGCTGGACCAAGCACCCGAAAGTTGAAATAATCAGCTACTTTGATCCCACGATCAAAGTATATTACCTTGTGTTGCTGCTGCTGGCGCCCCGTTCCCCGCCGGGCTGACGCGGGCTGCGCCCCGACAGACCCGGGCTCCAACAACAGCGGCTACTACGAGCTGCAGGCGGTGCTGACGCACCAGGGCCGCAGCAGCAGCTCGGGCCACTACGTCGGCTGGGCGCGGCTGGCCAGCGGCTGGGTCAAGTTCGACGACGACAACGTCACGGCCGTCACCGAGGAGGACATCCTGAAGCTGTCGGGCGGCGGCGACTGGCACTGCGCCTACGTGCTGCTGTACGGGCCGCGCCGGCTGCCCGAAGCAGCGCTGGCGCCGCCGGCCGCCGAGGCGGCGGGCGAGCCGGCTGCCGCGCCCGCCGAAGGAATGCAGCACTAGCGTCGCCTGGCGGCGCGACGGTGGCGCCCTCCAGCGGGGCGACCGTGATACGGAGGGCGGCCGGTCCCCGTTCCCAGTCATCTATCAATACATGGTTCATATTTAAGGCGAACGTGTGCGTTTTGTGGGAAGTGTTTACAGGGTAGGCGGGGTAGGCGTAAAAGAAAGGAAAGAGGTCTGAGAGCGGGGAGCTGCAGAAGAAACCCACTGGGTCCTGAGCCCCTGACATCCGCACCTAGTGGGCGTGTCACGCCGTGGTCTGCGACGCCCGAATCACTGGCACTGGGCGGCCGTGTCGCTCATCGGCACTGACGTATGCTGTTGTAGCGGGAAGGCTTCACGTGGTGTGCGCCACTGCATGCCAATATTGCTCATGAACAAGGGTCATCCACCCTTCTGCTTTCCCAAACTCGGTGCTGCTACATCTGCAATGTGTACCTGCGTCTGAATGCACAGCTCGCCGCTCCTCTGCAAGCCTGGTCGGATTCGCTGGCAGCATCGCTTCGCCGAGCCGTCAGCCACATAAGCTGAGTGTGTGGTTATTGATGGATCGGAATGAATATTATTGGGACGGACAAGGTGCCGACGACACTCGTGAGAAGCGACGGGCACCCAGTTCGGCGGCGTCTCCATAGGCTGAAAATATGCTTCATATAAAACGAGTTTTATTGCAACGCTACCAACGTCCAGCGCCTTGGAGCTTCATGCCCGGACTATTTAACGCCTGGGCATGGGTTGCCTTCCCAGATCTCCGGCTGGGCTCCACGGGTATATGCACTTTCATCTCAGTTCGCAGCCAAGCTCCTTTATACTTGCAGCCGCAGCTCAGCGAGTCCTTTTCACTGAGTCTCCGACTCGGCCAGGGTTCGCGCCGGGACCCCCTCCGCACAGTACCCGTCATAGTTGTCTTCGGGCTTTGCCGGGGCTGTCGGGACCCTCCACAGTGCGCGCTAGACATTATACTGCCGGCCGTTCCAGCCCATGAGGCGGCCGGGTACCGACTGTTGTCAGTCTCAGCTGCCTGGCGTCTTACCTCGTCATACGGGGCCTCCCGCGGCTGCCCCGGCCGGGGCCGGCACCGACCGACCGTTCTGTCGCCGTTCATCACTGACCGGCACTGCAGACGCGTGGCCCGCGCCACCACCGCCCCCTCCCCCCCCCCCCCCCCGCTCCGTCGGGGGTTGTGGGTCACCAGCGGGCGGCTGCCCGGCGGCGTGCCAGGCGTCAGGCGTGGAGGGTGTACTGCTGGTGCGCCGCACGTGCCAGCGCCGGGTGGCGTCAGGACACGGACAGCTGATGATCACCAGTCAGTGCCGCGTGAGACAGTCGCCGCCTGGCGGCCCCGCGGGGACCCCTGGTGGCGCGCTGGCCGCGCACCTGCTCCGCAGCTGCTGAACACTCCGCCGTTTGGATTGCCACGAGTCTCATCCTGCGAAGTATTAGCAATGGCGAATGTGATATATATTTTACAACGGCATGCACCCGCCCAACGCTCAGTCGAATCGTGGACTGATCCGGCGGCAGTTATTATGCATTTGAGTTTCATCCGCTGATCATTTCCTTCTATCTTTCAAACAGTTAACTGCCATCCTAACGCAGCATATTTCAGAGGCTTCACCGCCTCCTGTGCTAGCTTGCTGCAGTCGCCATTGCAATGAATACAGCGCGTCCGTAGCTGAAATGGGAAAGGCCCGATCGCAAAATACCCCTTAACCAATGACCGCACCTGGTCAGACAGAATGGGGCTGCATTAATACAGACCTGGAGGAGACGCAGGCATTACAACAGGCAGCGCGATGCTTCCCAGGGTCTGGGTCATCTGTCAGGCCCAGTGGTCAGCGGGGATGACCCGGCCTCTGGGACCGGGACACGTCCGCCGGCTTCTGTCAGGCCCAGTGGTCAGCGGGGATGACCCGGCCTTTGGGACCGGGACACGTCCGCCGGCTTCTGTCAGACCGCTTAGATACGTTGGATGGCGCAGAATAACAATGGGGCTCCACCCGACGTCCTGGAAATTTAACAATGACCCTCCGCGTTTATTGGAAAACAATGCCCAAAAAAGTTAGTCTCCAGACTGGAGGGGGAGGGATTCTTCCTGCACTCTCCGAGGTCTGTCGATCCCGCAGACGGCGGCAGTACCAATGCCAGGCGTGTGCCATTACGTGAGGTCAGAATCGGCTGGCGGTGTCAGTGGGTGTCTGGTGAGCGGCGGTCGTGGCGCGGTCAATTCGTTTGATGAGCGGCGGTCGTGGCGCGGTTAATTCGTTTGGGCCAATCTCGAATCGTGTCAGAAAAAACAGAATCGGTGATGGTAGGGATTTGCATCAAGGTGGGGCGCTTTTGCAGGCTGCTCTAGTGTGAAAGCCGGTGCCTACGGTGCATCACGTGACTGAAATGAGCACATCAATACATGACTCAGACGAGTCCAGGCAAACGTGGTTTATCTCACGCAGTCATAGGAGACGACGGGATGTGCGGGCCCCGCATGCCCCATGTAACTGATAGACGCCCCCATCTTTAACAGGGCTTCAGCTGCCCCTCCTAACCCTCATCCCCTCCTACCCCCTCCCCTCCCGCCCACAGCGCGTGCCGGCGCCGACCCCCCACCGCGTGTCTGCCCCCGACCGGCCGCCCCCGGCCACGGTGGCGTCTGTGAAGCACGTGGTGGTCAGGCCGAACGCTGCGCCAGGGAGCGGCGTCCGGCGCCATGATGGACGATCGCAAGTGACGGCCCGGCGCCGCCTGAGCTGCCAGACGGTCAGACGTAAAGTGAGCTGATTGAGCGCACAGTCTCGTTCACTTTTGGTTCGGGGCAGTGTCTGGCTGCATCCGTGGCTAGCTGTTAATAAAACCGGAATGAGCTCTCAGTGAACCTCAAGGTCACGATTAGGTTACTGCTGCCGGAAACGATGACCACCGGATATGGTTGCATTGCCAGGACGAAGCGCCCTCGCTGAATGCAGCAGCTGAATATAGTTAAATATCCCCAGACCCTCCCCCACACACCTGTCCAATTGTTTCAATGGTATGTTGTTCCCAGAGCATCGATATGCGCTCGAAATTGCTCCTCATGTAACAATGAGTCGTAAAATATCACGGCAATGAAGGGTGAAATTAGTATTCAATGTCATTTGACATGGCGACCGATGCTTTGGTATTCTCTTGAGGCTTATAGGACTGGTGATGGGCGCCGACTGTTAGTGTAATGACAGCTGGTATGGTGACTGCTGGTGTGCAGACTGCTGGTGTGGTGGTTGATGGTGTGCAGACTGCTGGTGTGGTGATTGATGGTGTGCAGACTGCTGGTGTGGTGATTGATGGTGTGCAGACTGCTGGTGTGGTGATTGATGGAGTGCAGACTGCTGGTGTGGTGATTGATGGTGTGGCGACTGTTGGTGTAGCGACTGCTGGTGTGGTGATTGTTGGTGTGGTGACTGCTGGTGTGGAGATTGATGGTGTGGCAACTGCTGATGTGTTGGCTGCTGGTGTGGTGACCGACGGTGTGACAGTTTTGTCGGCTCGAGCCTCATCCAGCGGATAAAATGGGCTTAGTTGCTTTGAGAAGGGCTCGTGAATCTGCTGCCAACCATATCGCAATGTTATTCTTCCCAACGGCGAGGCACCGCAGACCTGGCCCGACTGGGAGCGTCGGCTGCAGTGGGCCGTCCCACAGCAGCGCCGGAGGGTGGCCGCCCCGCCCGGCCCGCACACTGCGACGGTCAGTGCGTTCTCCCACGGTCTAATCACCTCAGAGCAGGTGAGCGGCCGCCCAGCCGCAGTTTTTGTGAGCACGTCAGCGGAGGCAGGTGCTGGGGTGGGCAGCCAGGCGGACAAGGTGCTAGTCACACCCGTCCACCTGTCCGGGGTCACTACAGCTTCGGCACGCACTACTGTCGGGTTGGTTCCATCGTCCGTGGTTGGTGCCGACAGTGTCGATGAGGCACCGGCTGACCTGCCCGGGGTCAGAGCCGGCAGGATCAGGGGTGCCCCTGCTCGTGACCCACCCCGATGAGTGTGGTGTTTGCAACCATACCACGTCCATGCAAATGCACAGGTCGTCCGGCATGTTGCCAGTTTGCGGTCGTCGATCGAGATGGATCGGCTCTGCGATTTCACTTCCTTAACCGTAAAATCATTCGACCCCGGCACACCCCGCCCATTCGTCTCCTGCTGGCGGCCCAGAGCGTCCTGTCCGGGATAAAGATCGAGTTTCGAGGGTGCGTCATGAATGACGCAGGGGAAATAAGCTGACAGTGGTAGTGCAAGCTGATCATGCACAGGTAACAGGAGTAGTAAGACTGACTTAGCCTCGGGGGGTCACCGGTTATAAGCATAGAGCACTGGCTTTAAGGTACACATCTATGAAATGTTTTGAACATCGTGCTTGGTGGACGCCGGATGGTTACCAACGCTTTTGAAATGAGCGACACCAAATGGTTACCAACGCCTCTGAAATGAGCAACACCAGATGGCTACCAACGCCTCTGAAATGAGCGACACCGAATGGTTACCAACGCCTCTGAAATGAGCGACCTCAAATGGTTACCAGCGCTCCTGAAATGAGCGACGCCGGATGGTTACCAACGCTCCTGTAATGAGCGACGTGATGACAAACATTCCTGTTGCGGCTCGAGGTTGCAAAACTGCAGCATAGCACAGTTGATTCTCCATCGGAAATCTGCATTAGAGGAGGGCGTCCACTTGGGGTGTTACGCGTCCTTGTCGCACACTTTCATTACGAACGGCTAAAGCAGGCGTGGCCGCAGCCAGGCCAGCCTCTGCATAAGGCACTTGGCGAATGTGATAGCTTAGACGGTCATATGCGGACCATGGCCTGGCTCGCCGCGCTTTGGACGAGCTTGTTGATATTTTAGAAACCACTGACAGTTTCACCTTATAATTTCAACATCAGGCTCCAAATTGTTCCACCAGCGTGATTTCATTTTCGCGAAGGATTCCATTGTAGGTTGGTTACCTCGAGTGGTATCGATAAAACGTTGCAATATCACCAATACCACCAATATTCACATCCCATACGATGAACGCGGGAAAGTCAACTTTTATCATTGGGAAACAGAATGAACTTACTTAAAATGCAAATATATTTTTAACTGGAACT